CCTCATCTTGCGATGAAAGGTTATGTTTTGCAATGGGCAACTGCTACACCTTGTCCTAAGCCTGGTGTCTTGCGACGATAGTCCAGTCTTCTTGCGACGACTGCGACGAAGGTTAAGTCTTGCGATGGACAGGTGCAATAATCCAGAACTATTAGAACTATTTAATCTAATTTTTTTTTTTTGACTATTATTTCATAACATATGGACCGCATACCATCAGAAACGAAAAAACCTTTTGGAGATGAAAGAGTATTGAGGTACGGGAATTGCTTCTGTTAAACCTTTTTTGTCTTAGTAGAGAATTATTATTCTTTGATTGCTGATAGCGCATTTATCAATGGTAGATCTTTTCCTTAGCGTGAGCAAGTACTTTATTAATCTATTCCGAAGTTACTTAATGAAATATTATTAATCTAGTTTTTTTATAAACATTTAAATATGTAATATAAAAAAAAATAATATATCGTTATATGATTTTTATTGAGAATATTAAATCAGTTTCACGAGTTCGTTTATTTCCAACGTCAACAATTTGTACACGATCGCATGATACTAGCTGAATATTCGTTCCCGTGTTAACTGTCTTTTTTTGAAGAATTTTTTCAGCAAATCTATTCTGTTTCCTGTTTCACGTGAACTCCGACTCTTGTACAGCAAAAAAAAATGTCAGCGACTAACATCAGAGAAATGGCAAAAAGAACACGCCTCCTAGATATGGATACCATAACAACGAGGAGCAAAAAGGTCATCAGAGAAGTGGCAAAAAGAACACATCTAGTTGTGGTCAACCGCAATCGTCAAAAAGAATATTGCGGAGGATATTCCAGTATAGAAAACAGTACTTGTCTGATGATCTTTTAGCTTTCCAAATTTTTGAGAGGTCTGAGCTTCGGTTAATAATCGTATTGAGACTTTTGACAAGTATATCCGATGCGATGCCTTTCTGTAAGTTAGTACCTCGATCATTTCTGTGAGCGTCGATCCAACTTTCCATATTAAGGTTGTCAAGAGAACGCGATATTTATACAATGATCGTCAAGCACTCAAAACGTGCCCTCCAACCAGGGACGATGATTTTCTGCGGTGACAAAATGCCGTGATAAAATCAAATTCCGCGTGCACTTTCCGTGAAAAATCACTAATCAATTTATTTTTCCACCGAGTTTTTTGAATTTTAGCAAAACCTGCTAATAGCAAGAAAATGAGACGTGATGTTTATCAATCGTCACAGATCATGAAACCTGGCTCTTAATGTTATTGATCTTAACACGTTTTTTGATGATAAATTAAAGGTCGATATGATATTAATAAAAAATTTATTTAAAATTGGTAATATTCTGATACAAATATGAAAATTGATTTTACAGTATATATAAATTAATTGCCATCTGCTACATAATGTCGGGCAAACAGATCATT